TTAACAAAAACAGAAAGAGAAAATGATAGAATGTAGTAAAGGGAAAGATAGAAGAAAAGATGATAGAAAAGAACAACAAAGAATTACACAAGGGAAATCAAAATAAAAAAGATGATACAATGAGCGTTAAAAGAATGAATATCAAAGTGAGAGAAAGACGAGGAGACTAACATTAGGACAGACAGGAAGAGAAAATAATGGAAGAAAAAAAAAAGAATGACACGAGATAGCTATAATGAGAAAATAATACAATTATAAAAAGAAATTATAAAATGAGAGAGGCTTATGGAACAATACAAAAGCAAAAGAAAGAGAAAGTGTAAACTATTGTCAAGAAAACGAAATAAAAAGATTAAATGATAAAAAGATTTTTAAAAGATGACCCAAGGAAATAGAAAGAGAATAATATAGGAGGAAAGAGATTTTGTTTAAATAAAAAAAGGGAATGTGAAAGGTAAAGAATGAGCAATAACAATCAGAATAAAAAGTAGAACGAAAAGATGATAGCAGGAGGAAGAGAAGGAAAGTCCGGAAGGAAGATTACGTATCAAACAATAACATAAGAAAAGGAGAAGTAAGTGAAAGATTATAGCAAATAGAAAGAAAATAGTGCAAGAGAAGAAAAACAACGAATAACGCAATGCAGTATTTTTTTAGAAGTAGAGTTGAAAGTAAATAAAAAAAAAACAAGGAGTGATATAACAGAAGGGGTTAACACAAAAGGGGAAGGGCAAACAAGAGACTGACATTATGAAAAGATGGGAACAGAAAATTAAACGAGGAAAATGATTAGTAAATTTGGCGGGGAAAACCAAACGAAACCAGTAGACACAGGCCGGCTAAACATACGATTGGATTGCACGCGAAAATGACGCGTGATGTGAAAGCAACATAATTATTTCCTGATTCTTCAAAGAGCACGGATCTTGAATCATATTTCACGATGGAGGGTAATTAATACCCTGTCAAGTATATATAAAACTTTACTGCCACGCATAACTTAGCAGCAGGTTTTTCGTAAAAGTATTGTCTACATCCTTTTGTACCAAGTTTGGGCTTTAAGCAATGAATGTGGGTCATGTAATGTTTTAGCAGATGTTTCTGCATTTATCAATAAAGAGTGACAACTGAACCAAAAGAAAAGCATTTCATATTAGATTAAAAAAAACTTAAAAGCATGGAGGTAAGTGAAAGAATCAAGATAAATGCTAAGGCCAACTATCAAACGCATGGATGCTTGAGTCAATAGTCGTCGGAAAAGCGTACATTGTTGGCGACGAGATTTTCAGACCCCAGTATGAACTTGTTTGCATACAGCCAATCAGGGCCCATCTTGAACTATGCAAATGGATATGCACGTACACCCTTCTGATATAGAAAGGCGCTGTTTGTGTGTTAAGAACTTGGCACTGTTTCGCATCAAGCTAAATAGAATAGTTCACTTTTGTAGTTATTCTGGTGCCTATATCTATTATGTATTACTGTACATGTAACATTCCTCTTTTTTGATATTTTGTGTCTAACTGAATATTTTCAGATTGTCACTATTTTATTCCTTTCCCTTGTTTTCGTGTGCCCGTTGTTTGTTGTCCCAGTTGTATGCTCTGCCTATTCTCGATGTGCTGTAGTCTTTTATTGTTTCTCATATTTTTTTCTTCTCTTTTCTCCCGTCTTGTCGAGTCTGTCTATATACCTCTTTCATAATGTATTCTTAGGTAGTCACAAACATACTCTGTCATAATGTTTATCTTGTTGCTTTGTTATGTACCAACCAGTTATTTGGTCCAAAGGGGACCTTACAACTTACAAGCTATACTTTAAGCAGGGTCTCATTTTTTTCTAGTTCACTTTTTTCTCATCATTGTCATAATTGTTGTTATGCATTGTAAATGTGTAATGATCTAATGTAATGCTTTATGTGACATTTGAAAGAAAGATGAATAAATATCGTATCTTATCTTATATTCGCGTGGCAATCGGAGGTCACCATTTTGCTTGTTGCATGCGTAAAGTTTTTGATTGACATGGTGAGCTCTGATTGGTTGTATGCAAATGAGTTCATACTGGGGTCCTGGGTGTGTTTCACAAAGATTAAGATCGACTTTTAGTTGGACATAACTATGTCAGGCCGTTTATGCCACTTTTTTTCTCACAATCATAATCTTTGGAAAATATCTTTTTCTTCAATAATGAATTATCAAAAATTGTACATTCTGTAGATTTGTGACCAGGATTTGTACGTCCCTTGCAAGAGAGACTTATGCCAGTAAATAGTAAGAGCAAACAGTGGCAAGAACAGCCTGCCATAGTTAAGTCCAACTTAAAGTCGAGCTTAGTTTTTTGTGCAACACCCTCCGGAACTCTCGTGAGAAGAGAATTACACAGGTGGGAAGGAGGGAGGGGTATACATAACGATGTTATGTAATGTAGGATAAAAGAGTGTCACGTATACATATTTTGTTCAGAAAATATCAAAATAAAACGTGGAAAGAAGGTAAAGAATTACAAACAATGCAAATGTGTGCACATTGGTGAATGCAGGTGGAATAACATTCCAAAAAAACAATTGCTGACATATTCATATTGACTATTACTGAAGTTGAAAACAAAATGTCTTAATATCAACTCAATCTCAAGGGATTTCTTATTGCAAACAATATTAATGATATTCTCTTAGTTATGATAATCACGATCTTGTCTTCATTAGAATCCCTCGTTTAAGGTATTAAAAGCATTTTTATTCTTTTTCAAACCTGATGTAAATATATTTTCTCTTTCACTGTATCCTTTTTTTATTAATCTCTCCTCACTTTTCAAAAGCATATTTTTGTTTGCTTTTTAAAACAAGGTATCCGGGTGTTGTTGCTTTCAACTCAGCTCTCACTTAACATAAGAAAAAGAGGATCATGGGGGACCAATGGTCACCGATTAGACATTTTTTTTTCTATATAGAGGGAGCAGGTATAGCTACAAGTAGGACAGTGTGGCTTTAAGATTGCCTCAACATCACGACATATGTATGACCTAATGGGGCTTCCCCATGCGAGAGTGCGTATGTGGTAAGTATTATTTTATAAGTTGTAGACCGAGGCAGATTTCTTAGAATATTCACAATTTGATGTAGCTGATTTACCTAATTTACATCCATTTGCATATAATGCCGTGTGCGTCAGGCTGGGTTAGGGTTAGGTTTATGGTTAGAATGGTGGATTTATAACAAAAACATACCTCTACAACTGATTAGATAATGCCTATCATGCATGTGTGCGTCTGTTACGCACATATGAGGGCGCTACATCATTTACGGGGAAAACAGGAATTGACATTATGAGAGTGCTATAAATCTTTTTTAAAGATACTATGTCCATTTTGCAGCTAACATCAAATTTTGTAGAACTGCAGGAATTATGAATATGTCTTTCCTATCTGTGAAATGTAAACATTAGCAAGAATTGATATTATGACAGTCGTGTAAAACTTCTTTAAAGAAAATAAACATACCAATAATGCCTACCACGCGAGGGCGTGCGCGTGTGTGTGTGTATGTTACGAAAAATTGGGGCGATAAATCATTGGCGAGCAAAACAAATGACAGTCGTGTAAATCTTCTTTAAAGAATGAAACATATAAATAATACCTACCGTGTGTGTGTGAGTATGTTACGAACGAATGGGGGCGCTAAACCATTATCAAGTAAAACAGCAATTGACTTGATTACAGTCGTGTAAATCTTATTTAAAGTATAAAGACATTATGACAGCCGTGTAAATATTCTTGAAAGAATATAACCGTCCAATGAATGCCCTGTGCAGATTTATTTTGAACACGATCGCATAGGCTCTCAATTTGTTTTCATTATTTAAATAGCCTGTGCGTCACCTCTTGACCTGTTCAAACGATTTAGTGATGCATTACATAATACGAACTCAATCTATTTGCGACATTCAATGGGTTATTGAAATTTCCAATCTTATATTGATTCAAGATAAGTAACATTTAAAAAAGCCTAAAACGAAAAGTTATCCACGAGAATAAATTATAAATTGTTTACCAGTATCTTGTACCCTTTTTGCTGATGAGAAGAGTCATTCTTACAAAGGTGTTATGACAGCACATTTTGCGACCATTTCTTCCCCAAAATCTAAATATTTTTCATTCTGATCGCTCGCATGTGCCCTTAATCTAGAGCAAACGAGGGCGATATCAATTCTAGAAATGTCCCCAAAGGTTAATGACCATGCTCGCTTGCACACAGAGTTTAGAGATATGTTATTATGAAATCAAGCGATTTTGGCAATGCCAATAAACATTTATGACATTGTTTTTAAAACCCCATCAAGTTCGGTGCGATTCGGAGTTTAAGGAAAACTATTGAAGAGAAATTATGAAAAACAACACGAGTTTCTAGGACAAATTTGGTTAGTAGCTTATAAACAGTCAAAGTAACTTGTTAATGATAATAAGATTCCTTAAAAAAAGCCCTGGTTCAAAAATAAATCAGACATTTTTGTTCTAATAATGATAGACTAATCTGACTTATAACAATCAAACAGTGGAAATTAGTATTGCCTATTAATTGATCTGAAGCTATCTGATCGATTTGATCGGTTCAATATATCGGAATTAAGATGACATGTTGAGCGATTACCAAAATATTTTTCCCTAAATTTCGATTTGACAATGAATTTATCTTGTTTCTTTACCCCAAATAATAGCCTGTAATTCATTTTCATTAGCTACATGAAATGATTATATGACTTACGTGACTGAACACCAACAAATAAATCGAATTTCACTTTGCTTCTCACGGCTAAAACACCAAAATGACACGCCTTGGTCACGTGACACAGTACGATACCGGTTATTAGCTACTATACGCAACTACGTCACCCGTTATCTAGTCGGTGATTTGCTACTGCTAAGATTGATGGACGGGAGGGAGGGAGGGGGGGGGGGACAAGTGAAAGTAAGAATATGCACAATCCATACGTAGAAAACGATCACTTCTAGTTGGAACTCGAATCGAGGAAGCTTCACTGGTACTTGCGACTCATATATGCAGATAGGACATCTATTGAATGACCATGATAAACGCCCAAGTTCTCCTCCTTGTCGCGGGGCTGTCTTTTGGAATAGGTAAGATATAAATTAGTATTATCAACCCAACACATAGGCATGCATTATACTTATTCATTTTAACCCTTGACTCACCATTAATTGGTCTAAAATCTCGTTTAACAAAAGAAAAACTCGATCCCCGGACAACTTATTATTTTAACAGGGGCAGGGGCAGTTCATACAGTTGTATGGGGTGGCATTTTCTTAGTTAATGTCTAGACGCAGTGCATACGAATCGTTTGCATTTGTTTACGTCTTTGGGACGCCAGAGCTATTTTGTACGTATAAATGATGAGCAAATGCGATCAAAAAATTGTCATGATTCAGTTCAATCTGTTATCATTTCTCTCTGTACATGGACCAGGGATACAGCATACTTTGCAGTTGGGTGTGATTGTCTGTGTATAAATTTACGAACAAAAATCTTAAATATTTGTGACGACGCATTGTGACCAATTAGATCATATAAAGAGGAAGAAAATCAATCCTGAACGGGTTGTATAAACCATCTCATGATGAACTAAATGCGAGCGAGCTTTTGGGGAGGTATTTCGAGACAAATATGCTCTTTGTCGCTTTTAGTTGGGGGAACATGTTATAAAGAAGAGAATAGGGAAAATTCATCAAAGGGAAAAGGACGATTATTAGAAAAGAAAAGGAGAGTTATTATCAAAGGTGAAAAGGGGCGTTTTTGCAAGTTAAAAGGAGCACTAGTTAACACTTTCGTTTTTAATAATCGCCCTTTTCCCTTTGATGAATTTCCCCTTATATTTCTTCTTCTTCATAACACATCGGCGGTGTAAAAACGGGCATTTATGAGAAGGGGAAGAGGTGTTTTTTTTATAAAGGAAAATGGTTATTTATCACACGGAAAAGGGGCACTTATGATAAAGGAACAAAGGTGCACGGGTTAATAAAAAAAAGGCCACTCATCTAACTTCAAATGAAATATTAATCTACCTTTTACACTTCTCACAGTTCATGCTCAGCAATGTTACAGCTGTCTCTCCATCACATCGGACGGTGACATGAGCGCCTTCCCAAGCATGGATGCAGGGATTGCGCCTTGTGACGAGAATTACGAACAAAGTACCATGGATTGCAGCCTACAGGGAGGTTGCCTGAAAGCAAACTACGACTTTGTGTACGACATTGAGGGCCGTAAGTACATAAGCAACAGGGAATTTTAGATTCGAGAACGAGGACTACCCTTTTATGGCAATGTGACGTCCTTTTAAGGCACTTGCAGTGACGTCATATTGCCTTAAAATGGCAGTCCACGTTCTCGTCGTGCAGAATCTAAAAGTCCCTAATGTATAAGTATTTATGAAGTGCCGTTATACACCTACAATGAATAATCATTTCAAAAGTGAAATCATTTCACAAATGTTGTTCTGGGAGCCCTCAAGGGGCAAACGCACCAGAGGTCGCCCATCAATGGCTTACATTGACCAGCTAGAAAAAGACACCAGGGCAGCGTTTCTCGAAACCGTCATAACTACAAGTTCACCGACATCCCATTGAAACGCGTGTTAAACTACACGCGTTTCAATGGGATGTCGGTGAACTTGTATTTTTGACGGTTTCGAGAAACGCTACCCTGTCTACCAAGGCAGGATCTACCAAAGATCATGGAGAATAGAACTGAATGGAAAAGCTTGTGAATTTATTGCGAGCACGCTCGACCTAGTAGTACAATGAATAGTGGTATTTTAATAGTCAGAGTTCAAAATGTATTTTTACATGTTGTGGAGTAGGACAAGGAATAATATACGTCCTTCCTGGCAACAAATGTTGTATCCAGTTCGCATTCATTTCCGTATTGAAGTTTTAAAGAATATGTTGTCGTGGCAATAATTACTATGATTTAGGACATTTAAAGGGATAGTTGTATAAAACCGCAAATGCCTTCAAAGTGCATTGCTATTGCTCTTATTGTTATTTATGCCATTTATAGTGCTACTTTAGGACCTACAATTGCTATAAATGTAATTTTAGACCCAAACATGTGTGACATTCAGCTAATACCATCATACCAAATCAGCTCAACTTTCAACAAACTACGGTGGCCGTTAATACATTAATTGATTAATAATAACAATACACGAGCCGGCTTGATTTGCATATCATAACCGGCAACAAAAAGCCAACAAAATGACAACATCGGCATTGGCTGAAATAAAACGTATACGGCGCTATTTCGTTCTTTTAACGGCCGGTTAAAAATATCGAATATTTGTGGGGCACCACAAATATAATTTTAGAAATTGTTATATTTTTGGATATTCAAGTCGTCTCTGAACCGATTTTGATCAAACAAAGATGATGTCATTTAAATCGTATGTTCTTTCAAACTTGACACTCAGTTATTCATTATCTCGCCAATTTTGTTTTGTGTGTAGCGTCCTCTGCAACAATATCATAACCGGCAACAAAAAGCCAACAAAATGACAACATCGGCATTGGCTGAAATAAAACGTATACGGCGCTATTTCGTTCTTTTAACGGCCGGTTAAAAATATCGAATATTTGTGGGGCACCACAAATATAATTTTAGAAATTGTTATATTTTTGGATATTCAAGTCGTCTCTGAACCGATTTTGATCAAACAAAGATGATGTCATTTAAATCGTATGTTCTTTCAAACTTGACACTCAGTTATTCATTATCTCGCCAATTTTGTTTTGTGTGTAGCGTCCTCTGCAACAAAACTCATCTATCCCTTTAAGTCCACGTTACCTAAATAAATGTAATAAATGTTTGGCATGGAATATGAATAAGAACACCAAAGCAATAATCTACATACATGCCCCATTTTGTATTGCAGAGGGTAATGTCGCAACCGAACTCGTCTTACGGACCTGCGGAGCAGCTGCGGACCAATGCGAGACCGCCAGCACAGCAGCCATCAACGCACAACGAGACGCGATCAATGCCATGCTCCCTTCTACCATTCAGTTCGTCTCCGGGAGCGGGGCTGCGTGCGTGTGCTCGGGCAATCTCTGCAACAGGGCCCACACAACGACGCTTAGTCTTGGAGCCCTGATTGCGTCTCTACTCGTGTCTTATCTCGCTATGAAACGGTAAAGTGAGAATGGGTCCAAGCTTTCTTCAAAATTCTTCAAAAAGTCTACCCCGCTGAAAGGTAGAGCTGATTAGATAGACAAAAATCTAAAAAGCCCAAATATAACTTGGTTTTGAAAAAAGGTGCTCAGACTTATTTTTAATAATTTTGATTAATGAGCACAAAAAAGAGTTAATGATCGAGCCGGACCTGTATTGCGAGACATTTTTTGGTGACGAAGGGTCCTTACAACACAGATTCGTAATGTAACCAAATGTAATGCATAAATATGTGTGAAGTGCCTCGATACAAACTGTTTCATTCACCTGATAAGAATAACAATATTTGAACAGTCACATTGCAAACTGCATATATTCAATGTTGCTTGGTAGGGCAAGCCATACTGTTTGTCCAACCCAGCAACGACTAATCGGATTCTATTGTCTATTGGATTACTATTATTCTTATCAGGTGAGTGAAATAGTTTGTATCGAGGCACTTCTCAAAGACGTATGCACTACATTTGGTTACATTACGAAAATAGCCTATTGTCAGAATGTATACTGCTGGCACTTTCGTTATGAGGAGCATACGTCACATCCGTAGGAAATTAACAAATACAACGCAATATGATGTACAATATTTTCACAGTTTTTTCTTAGAGGTATGTTCTAGCATTATCTAAAAGTTCCTTAACAGTTCAAACTGTAAATAGCTGCTATTTCTAGAACAGTATCGTTTCTGATATCTATACTTATTTACGGGTGCTTCATAATGTATTGTTATGAATTATTGTATTAAGCTTTGCTTTGTAATCTTGGTGTAAGAATGTGTATTTTATGATTTCTGAGATGTTCTTTTTTTACTAGATATCTTTCGTTAGTAATGTAATCGTTTCTTGTAAGTTGGTACACTTTATTTCTTCCATTTCTATGTCGTACACAGTAAACTGTAAAACCTTTACTTATCAAGATTATAAACCAAATGCTCACCGTCATTTAATGAGAAGAGAAAAGAAACACAAAATCAGGAAAATAAATTTGAATTTTTTTGGCAACAGTTTATGAATAAGAAGTTAATATTAAACATTTAGACAAGATCTTACAAAATAAATTTCTTTTTGTTTTGTTCCAGTTATATTAAAGATAAAGTTGAGTTTTGGTTACGCGATTGCATTGTGAAAGAAAAGGTGTGGAATGGATCAGAAAAGTTGATTATTTAGCTTGTAAGTATTGGTGTGTACTGCAAGGTTCTGGAGTCCCCAAAACCAGAATAAATTTGACCCAGTCTCTGTAAAGTAATAAGCACTGTACACAGAAAGATGTATATGGGACTACACAAATGGTGTCGGGGCTACTAACCTTTATTTCCTTATCTTTCTATTCTCATTTCTCAGCCAGTATACATTTTCTACCAAAATTGTTTGGCAAATGACATTTAGTTGTACTCTTGAACATTTAGTGTAAGTTTCATTTGATTCTGTGAGAATTCATTTCCTTTTTTTTTACCAGAACTCAAGTTTATCTTTAATAGTGCGGAGCGCTTTCGATTATAAAATAAATAATACCATAATCGGCGACTTCGATGCACCACGTTTAATTGACGGTTACCCTTCTCTTTATAAAATGCTAAAATGCATTCTATTTTTTACGGCTTTATCTTCCATGTAATGTTATATACATGTAATTGAAATCTACAAATATATATTTAACTGTAATTTTACAACTTGTTCAATAAAACATTTCGGCGTACCAATTCAACTAAGTTTCCATGTTTTTTTTATTTGATTTAAAAAGCGTTTCTTTTCTCCTTTGAATCATGCGATGGTGTGTATCATGAGGTAATTATTTCATGGGGAAAACATCAAAGGCCCACTGTACTACTTGTGGCTACTTGCTCCCTCTATATATAGAACAATGCCTAATCGATGACCATTGGTCCCCCATGATCCTCTTTTTCGTATTTTAATTGAGAGCTGAGTTGATGAGAGAGAGAGAGCCACCTGTCAGTGACCTTCCTGGGTGGTGTAATCCCTCCTAGCCAAATTAGTACAGATGGCCTTTAAAGCTCGAAGGTGGGTAAACATAAAACGTGATAACGTACTCGTGAGAGAGGAAGTTTGCAGTAAAAAAAAATCAACGTGTTGATCAGTGAGGAGAAAACAAATAGAGAAGAAAGACGGGGAAGAGAAAGGGCTATACGGAGAGAAGATAGGAAATGAAGAAAAAGGAGAAGAAGAGGAAGAATAAAAGTAAAATTGAGATCAGATGTAGAGTGTAAGGATAACACGATATAGAAAGACCAAATGAAGGATAGGAGAGAAAAACATTTCAATTCAATTGAATTCAAAAATGGATTATTAAACAACATGGTTTGCAGCAATAACTTAAATTGCAGATACATATACAAAATAAAAATGTACTTTGAAATTTAAATTTAAAGGCAATATATGGAATTGATAAAAACGTTGACCATTTTGATCATCAATAAAACTATACAAATAAAGACTTTGTTGAAAATCTGGAAAAGTTGTATACAAATAGGCCTATAATAGATTAAATCGAATACTTATAAACAAAATACAAATTGATTTATAAGACCAATTACCCTTTAAATTCGAATTGTGAGACTTGTATCTGTGATTCAGACTAAAATAAACGTATTGTAATAAATGCATTCGGATATGATCTGTGAGAGGGAAAAGGAGAAGACATCTGAAATAGGTTCAAAGATATTGGGTTAATCTTCATTGGCATAAGAAAATATTCGAAACCGAAATGTGGATATGAGCAATGGGAATAATTTAAGAAGTAACCAGTTTTTATTGATATTTCTGTTCTTGGAATATTTGTACGAAAAAATAGTGATGTTGAGCTAATGAGTTTCTTACAAATCTTCGGACTTTAACGTTTTTTTTATTGATAGTTTATTTCCTTATACGCCAAATACTATGCAACAGCGTTTGAAAAGTCGAGTTACTTTCGCAATTTCTGGCCATATATTAGGGCTTTTTTGAGCCAAGCAACAAAATATGACTGTGAAAAACATACTTTATTAACAAATATAGTGTGACGCAAAATATAAACACATTTCAAGGAAATCTAAGAACAAACGGTAATCATTGTAACAGGATGTGTTTGATCGACTTCGTAAGTTACAGGCGTTTTAATAGTAGTGACTGAATCACTACACTTGGAAGTGCTGATGAAAGGAGCCCATACCGGGCATGGTGGCTCAGTGGTTAGAGCGCCCGCCTCATGAACAGGAGTTCGTGGTTTCGAACCCCGGCCGAGTCATACCAAAGACTAATAACGATGGGACCTTCTGCATTCTAGGTAGGCGCTCAGCATATTAGATTGGAGAAGGGTAGTAATAACATATTATGTTAAGCAGGGCCCACTGGAAGAGCAGTTTCATAACTGAAGTGGCTACCCTGGTAAAATAAAACGTTATTATATTATATTATTATTCAAATTGAAGACATCAACTTATAAAGAATTAACTTCATGTATAAAATTGATTAATTGATAAATTGATAAAAAGAAATTTTAAAAATTGATAAAACATCATTTCCTGTTCCCCGGGGCTGGTTTTACGGATCTGCCACCTCTCGTTTCTCTCTTTCTTTTCTCCCTCCTATTGGGAAGGTGCGATGACCTCATGGTGGAGCAGTGGCCTCGTAATCCCGAGATCCGGGTTCAAAATCAAATCGATTTTACATTCATTTTCATTTTCAAGTCCCTCGACGAAGACTTCGAGCAAACAGGACAAGTTGGAAAGAAAGACGGAGAAGGAAAAAGGCGAAAAAACCGGGAAGTGGTGATCAGTGAGGAAATAGGAAAAGTAAGAAAGAAAGACAGAGAACGAAAGGGCTATACAGAAAGAAAATAGGGAATGAAGAAAAAGGAGATTAAGGAGAGAAAGAATAAAAATGGATTTGAGATCAGGAATTCGAAGCGTAAGGGTAACAATGTATTGGAATACCCAATATGAGAAGGGAGAGAAAAACAATTCAATTTAATTCAATTTAATCAAAAAATGTTTTATTGAACAACATGATTTGCATCAATATACAGTATTGCACAGTATATATATACAAAGTAAAAATTAACTTTTGAATACGATTTTCCATTTCAATATTTGCAATTAATAAAAATGTTGTTAAACTTGAATCACCAATAGAATCATACATATAAATACATTGTTGAAAATCTAGAAAGGTTATAAACAAATATAATCAAGTACAAAATCAAGAGTCAAATGGAATATTCAATGATATGGGCTATAGGAATGGTTGAAAAGTCACCAGTTTTTATTGATATTCCTGTTCGTGAAATATTTGTACGATAAAATAGTGATGTTGAGATTATGATTTTCTTGCAAATCTTCGGACTTTTTCGTCATACGCCGAGTCCTATGGTTACTCTCCAAATTTAGAGCCATATGTACCAAATACGTTTTAAAGAGAAGGTTGAGTTCTGGGAAGAGGTAAACAATAATTTGTGAGCGTTATCATTGTTATTATGCAAGGGTGGAAGAACATCAGATTAAACATGTTCCCTGAAAAGCATGGCTCTTCAAATGCCTTCATATTCTAAATATCACATAAAATACGTAAAAATCGGGGGGTAGGTTTTTTTCGCCATGTGCTCATGTAGTCCCATATACATCATTCTGTGTACAGTGCTTGTAACTTTGCCAAGCTTTGGCCAAATGTCTCATCATTTTGATGATTCCAGAACCTTGCAATACACACGAATACTTATATACTAGATGATCAATCTTTTCTGATAGATTCCACACCGTTTCTTTCACAATGCAATCACATGACCAGAACTCAACTTTATCTTTAAAGGCATCCGAAGTCGTTTAACAATGTGAAATATGATATGCATGGCCCTACGTATTATCAGTGTCTGTGGTATGGTGTAAAAATGAAGCCCTGAACAAATTACGCTTCAAAATAATCATGAAGTGACTCAAAAAAATAGGAATCTTTGAATGACCGGTTTTACCAAACTAATTTTCCCCAATAGATTGTAGTGTTATAAAAGCCGTTGAGAATTTCGATTTCAGATCAGAAATATCTTCATAATCAGACAGGCGATCGACTTGTAAAAGTCATGGGGTTCCTGACTGAGCAATATGTTTATAATTATCATTGCAGCATGAGCTAAATCCAGGATTTTGTCATTTTAATACTTTATTGATCCAAATAACAAAATATGAAGGCCAATGGCCTTCATATCGTCTGGAAGATGAACATTATATTTCCTCCAAAAACGTCGTTTGACACTGAATATGAAACGAA